AGGTATTTACTTAAGAGAAATAAATACCTGTATCCACAACAAAAGGACTTCCATATGAACATGTTGTTTATATTAAAAGCCAAAAGCTAGAAACATTTGAATAAATGTCTTTCAACAGATGATTGGGTAAACTAATTGTGGAATATCTATACAATGGAATACTAGTTTGCAATTTTCAAAAAACCAAACTAATGATACATATAACAATGAGGATGAATCTCAGAAATATTATGCTGGAGGAAAGAAGCTAGACACAAGAGTACATACTGTATGATTCTATTTATTCTAGAGCAAGCAGTACTCATCTCTAGGGTAGAAAGCAAGTCAGTAGTTATATGAGGTGGTGTGGGAGGGAGGGGAGATGCCTACAGAGAGGGAGGAGGAACTGTTTGAAGTGATGGATTGATTGTGGTGATGGTTACAAGAGTGTATATAGTCATGTGTCACTTAATGATGGGGATGTGTTCTGAGAAATGCATCATTAGGCAATTTCATTTTTATGCAAACATCGTAAGGTGTATTTACAGAAACCTAGATGGTATAGCCTACTATATACCTAAGCTCTATGGTAATAATCTTAATGGACCACCGTCATACATGTGACTCGTTGTTAACCGAAACATCGTTATACAGTGCATGACAGTACAGTTGTGAAAATGCATTAAACTTTACACTTAGAAGAGTGCATTGTATTATATATAACGTTGATTTAAAAAGAAAGAGTTAAAAAGATGAGGGATCTAGTCTGAGCTCTAGCACTAACTATGTCTGTGTGTTCTTGTGAAAGGAGCTTAATCTTTCTACATCTTTTGCCTGTTGAGCAAATGGGGACAATAGGTAGCTCATCTACCTCATTTGATTATTGTGAAAATGTAAATGAAATAGTTTATTTTGAAATGTCTTTAAGAAAGTATAAAGTCATACACAAATGCTTGGGAATGGGGGTGGGGGAATGTTCCATAACCTGCTCTTCAGGGAAGAAACGCGAGAACTGTGATAACCCATGTGTGAGCTAATATATATATTTTTGGATTTTATTTGCATGTCATCTTTTAACTTGTGTAACTCCGGCTGTGTCACTTCACCTCCCTGCCCGTCAGTAAAATGATGTGGTTAGACTAGATCTGAGGTAGAAAACTGTAGGCTCAGAGACTCTCTAAAGCCTTTCAGATGTGTTTTCTTTAGCCTCTACAGTGTTGGCCTGTCTAACGTTAATTTAAAATGTGACTTGTTGCCAGTGTTTAAATCTGGAAATTTCACATAAAGTTTCAGGTTTCCAGCTTATTTTTGGAAATTAGCAGATCTGATAAAATTGGGTCCATAATCCTACGTGGCAGCAATTACCTGGAGTTGTGTAGTAGCTGTTCCTTTCCATGGCCATATGCTTGAGTTTCCCACAGTCTCCACCACTCTCTGTAGCATTTTCTATTCTCTGTGGTAACATTAGAGGAAAGTTAATTCGTTTTTGAGTGCCTGTGATGTGTAGGCACTATTCTAGGGCATGGGGATACAGAGGGGAACCAAACAGACAAAATCTCTAAACTCATAGTGAGTGGTAAGTACCCATCCACATCATCAAAAATTATGAGAAAATTAGACCAAGAGTGTGATCTATTTTAGGGGAAGTGGGAGAAAGTATGTTTCTTTATGGAAGTAAAAAAAAAATTCCTACATATTTAATAGGCAGAAGTGTGTATGTGTCACAATTGTCCTGCCTGTTTCAGTTGCTTATCTCAAATAATGATTGGATCATTTTTCTCTTTGTGCTTCAATAAATTCATGGATTTTCCCCAAAAATGCATTCCAATAAAATAATGGAGATTATCTTAGCATTTCAAAAAATGCTAGTAGGCAGAGAGACTAGCACAGGCTCGACTGAATGTTAGCTTTTCTTACCTCTATCCGAACATCCTTAACTCAGCTTTAGATTTGTCCATTTAATCAAGGTCTTGGGATGCCGCTTGATCTGAAGTAAGTATCTCTATAGACAGTCTCATAGCTGCCGCCTTCTGCAATAGCCTGAATGCTGTTTAGCTTGTGGCTGAGAATCTTATTACTCTTATCCATGTGGTAGACCTGTGCTGGAGAAGTGCCTTGTGGTGCTGTCTTCTGTCTATCATCTAAGCTGGTAATTTATATCTCCATTTGGTCAACTACACAATGATAGTGGCCAACATCTTTAAATTGACAAATCCTATCAGGCTTCAGTTTTGATCCTCATGGTTAAGGAGCCCTGATTTAAATGCTTCTCACCTGCAGATAAGCCCTTGTATGGGCATAGATGCTTAATAACATGGTTCCATCTACGTTAAGTGTAGTGGTTCGTTGCTTTGCCTTTAGATTTATGATGGTCATGGGCTTTGAGAATCTGGGCCAGCGCCTCTCAATGAGTTATACTTGCCTGGATCACGTGGTAGGCATCTGACCCATTTCTTCAGTCTTGGCTGGAAAATCATCTTGCCACCTGGCAAAGAAAACTACACTGCTCCCATCTGGTGGCAGTTATCTCAAATCGCTGCATCATCGCCCTACTTCTGAAAGGGTGGCCTTGTCCTTTAGTGGTGCCATGTATCACAAAGCTGTAGGAAATAGCCATTCCCAATTTTTGTTCTCCCAGCTTTTATTCTGCGGCACTGTTAGCACTGTCAGGGATGTTGCATAGTTTTCTCTAAGTGAAGTGGAAAGAACATTTTTTGGACAATTAGGAAAGTGACATTGTTCCAGGTTCTACTCATAACTGGCCATGGGATTCCTAAGCCTCACTCAGTTCCTCCACCCATAAAGCAGAATGCTTGGATTTAGCGCTCCCTAGGAGCACTACCAGTGCAAAGTCCGTAGTTCTCTGATTTTTTTTTAATCAAAATATTTATAAAATAAATATTCGGGCTGTTCACAAAACAATTATACATAGAAATTTTATAATTTATACTATAATTTACCCCAATTCTAATTGGTTGTAAGACACATCATGAATTTAATAGCTTTTTTTTGGGGAAAAAGGAAGACAAATAGTACTTCATTAAATGGACATATTGTAAGAAAAATTCTGATATCCTAAAAATTAAAAATCTAAAAAATATGCACCTTAAAATTGAGATTGTTTTTGGTCTGTGTAAGACCTCTACTAGTCAATGCATGCTAGGGTTAAAAAAATTTTTTTGTTGTTAAATACACAGCATTTTATAATTAAAATTGACAATTGAGCTGTGTAAGTGGACTTTAAAGTTTTACAAGAAAATGGAAAGTGTTATTGATATACAAAAATTAGAGCAATTAGGGGCTGGCCCGGTGGCGTGGCAGTTGGGTTTGTGTGACTCCTCTTTGGTAGCCTGGGGTTCACCGGTTCAGATCCTGGGCATGGACCTAGCACTGCTTGTCAAGCCATGCTGTGGCAGCATCCCACATATAAAGTAGAGGAAGATGGGCACGGATGTTAGCTCAGGGCCAGTCTTCCTCAGCAAAAAGAGGGATTGGTGGCGGATGTTAGGTCAGGGCTAATCTTCCTCAAGAAAAAAAAAATTAGAGGGGCCAACCCTGTGTGTTCCTGTGCTCTGCTTTGGCTGCCCAGGGTTTCGCTGGTTTGAATCCTGGGCGTGGCTGTGGCACCACTCATCAAGCCATGCTGAGGCAGCTTCTCACATGCCACAACTAGAAGGACCCACAACTAAAAATACACAACTTTGTACCGGGGGTGCTTTGGGGAGAAAAAGGAAAAGTAAAATCTTTAAAAAAAAAAATTAGAGCGATGACAGTTGAAATTAAATATTGTGTGGTAAATTTTAGTGTTTATGTGAGTACTAGAGAAGAACATAGTTATAGGAAATATACAAACGGGTCATCTCTAGTAAATCATTATCAAAATGCACATTTGGAACGTTTGAACCCATTAAAAAATTTTTTTTGACACAAAATTATGTATGTATTTTATGAAAACATGCAGCAGTGCTTTGTGATTAAAGCTCTCTTTGGTTGCAAGGAACAGAAACTTATTCAGGCTGACTTGAAAAAGAATAATTATTGTAAAGATACAACAGAAAATGCCATGAACATCGATGGACAGGTACTGAAGTGCCGCTGGTCCTCAGAGGGGTTAGAGTGACACGGTCAGGACCCAAGTCTTCTCTGTCTTAGGCCTGAGGTCTCTGTAACCATTGCTGTGCTCTGGCAGCTCTGACTTTGCATATGGCTGCCAGCCCCAATACTACAGCATAACCTCAAGCTGAGTTCCTGTACTGATGACTTACCTCTGTATTCACCTCCATCCAATTAGTGGTCACCTCTGTGCAAAGAACAGCCTAGTGATGTTTTTATTTTTGCTATCCACAATCAATGCACAGTGTAGTTCAAGCTAAATTATGAAGGTATACAAGCAGGCACATGGGCTAAGTGTCCAGTATAACTACTGCTTATCCCAAAGCCTTCAACTTGGACAGCTTTGCTCTGCTTTATCTGTTTATAATCCCTGTTAACAATGGCACTGGGCCCCTCATGCAGTGTTTGGGGAGTGAGGTCCAGGTTAGGAGTTCAAAGGATTTGTGGAATGCTAAGGTGTAACAAATTCACAGCATTTAAGAATTCTCCAGCTAGTAATTGTTGCCTTAAAGAGAAGAATAACACCCAGCCTCACGGGATTGTAGTAAGAATTAAACAAGAGCTCAAAGTGCCTAGGACAGTGGTTGGAGTGTAGCTGGTTCTTTTTCTTTCATCTCTTTGTTCATCTGTTGATTTGTAGGTTCTTTGGAAGATAATTACTATTCTTCCTTTTTCCTGAGACAGGTGTTTAGCAACAATTTCTCTGACTCTTGCCACCCAATCCCGCGAGTAATACCTCTGAGTCCCCAGAATCTAAGAATGTCTTCTACGCCAGGCCAGCCCTAGGATTGGCTGACGATGGCATCACTACCTTTAACAGTGACGGCAACAACCTGTAGCCACCATAGTCATCTGACTCATTTCTTTAACATGACTCAAAAGAGCTTGTATGTGTGTTTCTCTCACAGGTGGATTTGCTATCGTGTTTCTGGTGAGGACAAGCAATGGAATGAAATGTGCCTTGAAACGCATGTTTGTCAACAATGAGCATGATCTCCAGGTGTGCAAGAGAGAAATCCAGATAATGGTAAGGCTGCCTTTCAGACTAGAGACTGCTTGTTTAAAATGGGGGAGAGACTGTGCCCTCTCATAAGAAAGCCAAGAGGGGCTTGTTCCCTTCGCTGAGATGAAAGAGGTGGGAGTGAACAGCCATGGGGTGTAGGATGCTGCTCCTGCCTTGGTCACCCTCAGCTGGAGGGTTGAGGAGAAAGAAGCATGTTGAGAGAACTGACCAGTTTTCAGTTTAGAGAAATAGTTTTGGGCATTGGGAAAAGTTAATTTAACAACTTGGTTCCCAGAGTTAACTGGAGTTTAGTCTGGAAACTCTAGCTTTCCAATGAACCTCTTCTTCCAGTCTTCTCTTTTTATTAGTTCCTAACCAGTTTTCAACCCTCTCAAACTCTTCTGTGAACATCTCTTACCACGCCTTTAAATTTTGTACATGTGGTTCTTTCCACTTGGAATGCTTTTTTTCTTTTTTTGGCCTAGAAACTTCTTACTCGTATATACTCTATGATTTCATTCTAAAAGTCCGAGAACAGGCAAAAGTGATCTTTGGTAATAGAAATCAGAAATCGGTGATCTAGGTGTGGGAAATTGACTAGGAGGGGCATGTGGGAACTTTCTGGGCCATAGAAATGTTCTACATCTTGTTTTGAGTAGTGGTTACACAGGGCTATATGATTACTCAGTTTTCAAGATTCAGATTCATACTATGTTTAAAGAAAGATGGGGCCGGCCCTGTGGCCGAGTGGTTAAGTTTGTGCGCTCCACTTCGGCTGCCCAGGGTTCACTGGTTCGGATCCTGGGCACGGCCATGGCACCACTCATCAGGCCATGCTGAGGTGGCATCCCACATGCCACAACTAGAAGGACCCACAATTAAAATATACAACTATGTACTCGGGGGATTTGGGGAGAAAGAGCAAGGGGAGTCCCTATCTGGTAGAGGTATATGCTGGAATCTTCGTGGATGAAATAATATGATGTCTTGAAGCTAATGAGTGGATTTAGAAGAGAAACAAGATCGACAATTAGTTGATTATGGTCAAAGCTGAGTGATGGGTATATGGGAGTTTGTTAGAGTTGTCTCTTTCACCTCTGTTTCACATTATACATAAAATTTTTTTTTAAATGGTCTTTTATTCCATTGTGTTTCCACAGTACTTTTGTTTGCCAATTATATTGCTTTTCTTGTTTTATAAGTAATTCTGCCTTCAGAAAGTAATTTATTTAAAATCAGAAACTGTATATTCCAGCACGCTGCTTGACATAAAGTAAATGCTTAATAAACTTTGGATGAAATGAATGTATGAATAATCTAATAGCAGATGCATATGTTCACCAAGAGGTGATGATTCCTTTGTGCCCTGGATTTTCATGCTTTTGTAAAGAGCAGAAAGAGGTCCAAAGAATGAGTGAGGGTGGCATTGTAGGGGTCCCACCAGGCTTTGCTTGCCCCTGCTGACCCCCTGTGGGGTTGCCCTTTCAGTGGGTACTTAGAGTAACTAGTTGCACTGTAGAAGAAGAACTCAGAATTTTAGAGAGCCTGGTACTACTTTGGATTCTAGAAATCTGAAACCATTTGGGAGGGAACTGTAGGTGGAGATAAGTGTGGCTGTCATCATTGCAAATAAACAAAAAAACCCCAAGGCTCATATGCATACAGTCAGGGCCACATGGATCTGTCTGCAAGGCACCAGAGTGTCCTCCCACTGCCCTGCCACACAGCTCCAGACGACCATTCTCAGGGTATTTCCCTTCATCCACCCAGTGGGTTTTTTGCATGCTGCTTCTTATTCCTCCTCCTCCCACCTTGCCTCTTCCTTGCTTAGCGCTCACACTCCATTTTTTATGTTTGATTCGGCTGTTTCTTCTGCCTGGAATGCCCTTCTCATTCATTTTCTGGTGTCATGAAGGTACTCCCACTCTAACTTTCTCCTGCTCATTCAGAAACATGTCTGAGGGCTTACTTTCTGCTAGGCAGGCGTCGGAGTATTGTAACTAAGAAGACGCAGGCCCCTTAGGAGCTCACAAATTAATGGGACCTGATTAGGAATTAAATTACATGGGTTCAAGTTCTGGCCCAGCCATGTATAAGCTGTGAGTTTAGTTTTGAATTTAGTTTATATCTTTTTAAAACTTAAATACTCAAATGGGTGAGCTAAACTTGCTACAGAAAACATCAAGCGGTTCCCTGAGGGGTCCTCCTATGCCATTTCAAGGTCCCAGAGGCAACCGCTTTCAGTTGATTCATTTGATATATTTCTAAGTAACATGTTGATATTGCTAATTCTTGATTTTTTTCCCTCCATTTTAGGGATTATATACTATGGAAAGTAAGAATTTAGCTCTCTTTCATCCCATGCATGCCCTTTTCTCCAAATACTTGCATTATTCTCATCTCCCATTCTTCCAAAATAGCTGTAAGTTTTGGCAATATGTTAGTTATACTAATATTAGTTTTTATATTGTTATGTAAGAAAACATGATTCCTGCCAAATCTCCTAGTGCACTATGATTACCCTTCCTTTCCTGTATAACTCTCTTTTCACTGGAATTAGTAATTGTGGTGGTTTTTTTTGAAAATTTTATTTATTGAGGTAACATTGGTTTATAACATTATATAAAGGTCAGGTGTACATCATCATATTTCGATTTCTGTGTCGACTGCATCACGTTCGCCACCCAAAGACTAGTTACCATCCATCACCATACACATGTGCCCTATTACCTCTTTTGCCCTCCCCCCTTCCCTTCTGATAACCACTAATCTAATCTCTGTATCTGTGTTTTTGTTTGTTTATCTTCCACTTATGAGTGAACTTATACAGTATTAGTCTTTCTCCACCTGACTTATTTCGCTTAACTTGCTACCCTCAAGGTCCATCCATGTTGTTGCAAATGGCGAGATTTCATCCTTTTTTATGGCTGAGTAGTGTTCTGTTATGCATATATACCACAGCTTCTTTATCCATTCGTCCCTTGATGGACACTTAAGTTGTTTCTAAGTCTTGGCTATTGTGAACCATGCTTCAGGGCTCATAGGGAGTGCAAACATCTTTTTGCATTCTTGTTTTCATGTTGTAAATACTCAGAGGTGGAATGGCAGGATCAGATAGTGGTTCTATTCTTAATTTTTTGAGGAATCTCCATGCCTATTTTCCATAGTGGCTGCACCAGTTTGCCCTCCCACCAGCAGTGTACGAGGGTTCCCTCCTCTCCACATCCTCTCCAATGCTTGTTTCCTGTCTTGTTAATTATAGCCATTCTGACGGGAGTGAGGTGATATCTCACTGTAGTTTTGATTTGCAACTTCCTAATAATTAGTGATGTTGAACATCTTTTCATGTGCCTGTTGGCCATCTGTATATCTTGTTTGGAAAAAATGTCTGTTCAGACCCTTTGCCCATTTTTTAACTGGGTTGTTTGTTTTTTTGTTGTTAAGTTATATGAGTTCTTTATATATTTTGGATATTAACCCCTTATCTGTTGTGTGATTTGCAAATACCTTCTCTCAGTTGTTAGGTTGTCTTTTTGTTTTGTTGATGCTTTCCTTTGCTGTTTAGAAGCTTTTTAGTTTAATGGAGTCCCATTTGTTCATTTTTTCTTTTGTTTCCCTTTCCTTGTGAGACATGATATTCAGAAAGATACTGCTAAGACCAGTGTCGAAGAGCATACTGCCTGTGTTTTCATCCAGAAGTTTTATGTTTTCAGGTTTTACCTTCATCTTTAATCCATTTTGGGTTGATCTTTGTGTATGATGTGAGCTAATGGTGTACTTTTCAGTCTTTTGCATGTGGCTGTCCAGTTTTCCCAACGGCATTTATTGAAGGGACTTTCCTTTCTCCATTGTATGTTCTTGGCTCCCTTGTAGAAAATTAGCTGTCCGTAGATGTGTGGGTTTATTTCTGGGCTCTTGATTCTGTTCCATTGATTTGTATGTCTGTTTTTGTGCCAGTACCATGCTGTTTTGATTACTACAGCTTTGTAGTATATTTTGAAATCAGGGAGTGTGATGCCTACAGCTTTGTTCTTTTTCCTTAGGGTTGTTTTGGCTGTTTTTTGGGGTTTTTTGTCTTAGTTTTTTGTGTACTTTTCACTGATTTAATCCCAAACTCTCCCCAAGTTGCATAAATTATTTTTTTAATTCTTTTAAACAGTTAGTATTCCGTCTGTTTTATCTTCTTGAAAAAGTCTCTCAGGCTTCTGACTTGATGGAATCTATGTTAGTTGCTCTCTAGGACTAATTTATAGTCTTGGAATTTCCTAGGGATTCCCTTGGTCTCTCTTTTTTTTGCTTTACTTCTTTGTTTTGGTGGAGCTTATCCAGTTTCCTGAGGCATGGTAGGTAAATTTTTGAGACCATGTAAGGTCTGGAAGTGTCTTTCTTTTACACTCATATGTAGCTTGTGTATAAAATTCTGGGCTGGAAATCATTTCATTCAGATACATGAAGCATTGCTCTATAGTATTTTAGCTTTCATTGTTGTGCTTGGGAAGTCCAAGGTCATTCTAATACCTGGTCCTTTGAGTGTGACTCATTTTTTCTCCCCAGAAATTTATAAATTTTTTCTTTGTTTACAGCGTTCTGAAATTTCTTGGTGATATACTTTGGTGTGTGCATTTATTATTTATTATGTTAAGTGTTTGGTGGTCTCATTTAATCTAGAAACTCATATCCTTGTGTTGTGGGGAATTTTAGTTTGTCTCATTTGATGATTTCCTTTTCTGTGTCCCCTCTGCCTGAAATTGCTATTATTTGGATGTTGGTTCTCCTGAATCGATTTTCGAATTTTTTGTTTTCTCCTCTTTATTTTTCATTTCTTTGTCTTTTTTCCTCTACATTCCAGAAATTTTCCTCAGCTTTATATTCCAGCCATCTTGTTGAATTTTTTATTTATCAAGCTTTTTAATTTCTAAGATCTTCTTGTTTGGTTTTGTTTCTAATTTTGATGAAGTCCCATTCATCAATTTTTCCTTTTGTGGGTCGTGTTTTTGCTGTCATTTCTAAGGACTCTTTGCCTA